CGCCGTCCGCCGACGCTCCCAACCAGCCGTCGCAGCCAGCAGCGAGGTCCCAGGATCCAGCAGCCCGAGGACCATTGCCTGACCCAGTGAGACAGGAGCCCTGCCAGCCCGGGAGCACACACGCTGCTGGCAGAGGAACAGGGCAAGCGCAGAGAGATCCTCCTCTGAGCCAATACCTCCCAGAAATGTGTCTGTAGGACTTCCTGAACCAGAGGTTATAAAGAAGCATTCAGTAGTCCCCTTGGGACTTTACTTCCCAAGTTACCGTTATTTCTGAACCCACAGCATCCTGTGCAACGAGCTCCACGGTTCCATCACTCTGCCTATGAGACACCATGGCCCCTGGCTCTCATGGTCATGGGACGACTGCCCTGTCCACCTCCCCCCGCCACGTCATTCTGTAGGCAGAGAAATTACAAGGGACCTAACTTCTTGCCCATGTCAAAGTCTTGATCTATCAGTGCTTCCCTTGCAGAGAAGCTGTTCCTCCTCTGACCAGTCTCCACCACCCTTCTCTGCACCTTCCCTGTCCCACCACACTCGGGGATTGGGATTGAGGGGTTACACACCCCCAAACTGCACGTTTATGGCTTCTTTAGGAGAAACGGCCCCATACTCCTCTTTGGTCCCTCTCCTGTCACCTGCTGCCTCTGCAGGAAAGGCCTGAGCAGGCCCCAAGTCAGGAAGCTGCTGCTACCTGTGGCCAAGGGGGCAGGTAAGCGGCTCCTGGTGAAGTCGCCCTGCCGCCAGCCCGGAGTGTGGGGCGGGGGCGCGAGCCCCTCCCTGTGGGGCCAGAAAACCCCAAGGTATGAGACGGGAAAGTAGCATCAAGGTAACAGCCACAGCCCAAGCATCCAGCCAGGTACTGAGGGACAGGGTCCTGGGATCATGTGGATTCTCCTCAGGCATTGGAGACCAGAATTTGCCATTTAACTCTGCTTGCAACACCCCAGCCCACCTCACCCACTTGTCCTGTGCCCCATGCACCACCCAAAGCTGTTCCCCGGTGTCTGTACAGCACCCAGAGTCACAGACAGGCCTGGCAGGCAAAGACCTGCTCCACGACCTGCCCCAGAGAGCCCTCAGCTCACGGCCGTGCGAGAGCGTACGCTGTCAGCCTCGCGTCCGGCACTGCACCCTACCAGGCGCTTGCAGTGACCACAGGTGGGCTTGCAGTCTGCTGCCCTGCCTGGCCCTGCAAGTCCCCCATGAATCAGCCCTGCTCGGATGTATCTCTGCACAGCTCTGGGCTCTCCCCGCTGCCTCCGCTTGGCTCGCAAGGATCGGTGAGGGTGACAGCACAGAGCGCGGACAGCCCTCTGCCATGAAAACAGTGAGGGGACCTGGTTTGTGCATTGATTCTTCCCTCTTTGTGTGGAAATATCAAATTAGAGGGGTGTTGCCACACCAACACACAGGATCAGATGCTTCATGCAGTCCTGCCTGTCAAGTCAGGTCTTGCCTGCTGTCCTGCAGGGATTTTACGCAGGGTGCCTACACCTAAAAAAGCCCCGATGTGGGGCCAAACGAGGCCAAGGTGTGCAGAAGCAGCGCTCAGGGTCCTTATTCCCCCAGGCGGGACCGCACAGACACGGCTGAGCTTGGAGCTCAGTACCCAGGCCAGCTGCTGCGGCCTGGTTACACCCACGGGAGGTGTTTTGGGCAAGCGGCCCAGAGCCCCGCTGGCAACACCCTGATAATCCCACAGGGCCTTGGAGCTGCCAAATTCTGCTCCAAAACCACAGACAGCCCTGCTGAAGCCCACAGCTGCCCCGGCAGCTTCCAGGTGAACCCTCCCCTGGTCAAAGTCTGCGTGACGACGTCTCCAGGTGCTGTGCCAGCACTGTCAGAGGAGATCAGCGCCCCTGGACACACGTGCTGGGGGGAGGCAGGATCCTGGCACCCCGCACCCACCACCTGCTTGGCACCGTCCAGCCTGGCCACCCAAGCCTGGCACTGCTGCCCCGGCCAGCCGGGCACGCGGCGCCGGGACAGGGCCGGCTCCCACTGCCCGCC